CCAATTTCTGACCACTTTATTGGGTAGTTGAAATCAGTAAATGGGTCGTTTCTTGTTTTCAGTCGATAGAACAAAGGGAGTTCTAAAGAAATAGCTATGAGTTTGGTGGACTGAAACAATGGAATTGGCTGAAAATAGGGTTCCAAGTGGGCAAAATCACTGGTGCGTAAATGTCACTGAGGTCGTTAACTTCACGAGAGCATAATTCTGTAAGTTTTCCACCAAATTCCGTACTTTTGGTGTCATTATCATCGGGAAAAGATTCTCTTATAATTTCATAAGAAAAAATAAATTTTTTTTTTTTTCAAATATATTGCAACACCAGGAGACACTTCAGGATTTGGGGTTGCGACAGTCAAAGGGTTAAGACTTCTCAAAAACCAGCTACTCACCCTAAACTAAATATTCAATACTCAGTACTTAAATTTGCCAAAAGATCTCCCAATTACCTAAATCTTAACTCTTCAAAATTTAAAAACCCAAAGTTCATACATAATACATACTACATTGTAGTATAAATACCTGCACAAAATTATACTGCCTTACATCATATTGTAGCATTCTCATACTGTAAACTACTATCACCAACGCTCAATATTATATTCCAATAATATAACTTAAATATTTAATATTGATATACACAACCTACAAAATACTTTCAGATCGTCCCAATGCAATATCCCCAGATTGTAACTTGAGTTAACTTACTGTCTGCTTTATATAAAAAAAGATGTACAACTTAAACAAACTGTGATCAGTTTCTGTAGTATTAAGTAGTCTGCAAGTCATTAACCCTTTGGGGGTCGACAGGTACTCTCAGAGACATGTTCTCAGGGTTGGCCATATTAAAAAAAAAAATTTTTTTTTCTTATGAAAAGATAGAGAATCTTTTCCCGATCATAATGACACCAAAAGTGTGAAATTTGATGGAAAACTTATGGAATTATGCTCTCGCGAAGTTAGCGGTCTTGACGATGTTTACGCATCTGCGATTTTGCCCACTTTGAGCCCTATTTTCGGCCAATTCCAGTGTACTGGTCGACAAAAATCATAACTATTTCACCAAAACTCCATTTTTTCTATCAAATGAGTACAAGAAACCACCCATTTACCGATTTCAACTATCCAATAAAGTGGTCAGAATTTAGCAGTTTTGCCAATTTCACACAAATTTCAAAAGATGCCAATTTCCGAATAGGGTCCAGAATAAACAAGAAAGACATTCCTGGCACTAAAACAACAAGTTCTCTGTTCGTTAGTCACATCCCCAGGCCCCTCTTTTATTTCTTTGGCTTTCCACTTTGAATTTTTATTCTTACAAAAAGAAAAATGAGATTTAATGTTATGCAGACTACTGCATTAGTGTAGAAATGGTATAAATAACATCAGCGCACTTGTGAAAGAATATTAGACTCGCCAGTTGACGTGTATTGGACGCTTAGCATGATTTGTTTACTTTTGAACTTTGGTAAAAATCGAACATTTCTGCTACTTGGAGCTCAATTTCAAGGTACTTTTCATTGTAAAACCAGTCAAAATCATCTCAATTTCTGTAATATGTCTTCCATTCTATAAAATGAGACCAAGAAAACTAGAATACAACAATAAATACCATACGAAAATACAGTGCAAAGTTGCTGTTTTAATCCAAAAACACGGTCAAAGTTTTTTTTCTCTCATTACGCACTGTGTGCTGCAGGATTTTTTTTTATACTGCGCACACTGACCACATGGACCCATTCTTACATATGTAGGCCTACCAGTTTTCTCTCACTAGATTTGAGGGTGCTAGAATTTAGGCGTACTAGTACGTCAAAAACCCTGGGTCGTAAGACATACTGTTACATCTGAAACCCCCAAAGGGTTAATTTAGTCTGGCCATAATGCTGTGGCATGATAGTGGCTCTTGGCACTGCAACTCATTATTGTAACTACAAAATCTCAATGTAAACTTGCAAACAAATAAAAATTGTATTGTATTGTAAGCCCACCATTTATTATTGATGTAAATGTAATAATATTGACAGGAATCATAAAAAATGATTGTTCTGCAATTGGCTTGCGGAATATTGGAAATATTCCAAATAGTATTTTGGGATTTGTGTGAGAGTGAAGGGCAAGATATTTTGCAGATGTCAGAAACTTAGCAACTTTTTTTTTTTTTTTTTTTGTAGAATAACTAAAGATAATAATTACTCGATTACCTCCAATGAAAACATCACACTAGCATTGTTTTATAAGTACCAAGTCCCAGAACCACTTTTCGTTGTGCCATTTATGCTGGGGTTCTTGCCAAATGTCATTTTCAGTAAATATTTTTTTTTCGCTCGTAACTCAGATTTTGGCTTACAACTCGAAGGAAAAAAAATTGACCAAGCGGTGGCTCGTGACTCGGAAAACTCGTAAGTTGGGGCACTCGTAAGTCAAGGTACCACTGTACAGTGGGACAAGATGTATTAGTAAACTTTTATGGTAATTAAAGGAAGACTGTAAGAACACTGACAGAGTTGAATGAAAGCTGGTTTGTTTGATTGTGTAATGCAGTTATAATTTCATTTGGGAGATCAGGTGCTTTTTAGCAATATCTCTGAATCATATGGCAGATAGGGGACTCTACAGTGCTTCAGGCAATGAATTTCAGGTCTTAGGGCTTTTTATGTGTATTGAATTATTGAATAGGTTGAGTTGGACATGGGGGATGTCAGAGAAGGCTTTGTGTCTTATGTTATGCCTGTGTGTTCTATTGCAGCTATCAAGGAGAAGTTTCAGAGAAGGGGTTATACAGTGGAACCTCTACTTACGAGTGCATCCACGTGAAAGTTTTTCCCAATACGAGCAGTCGCTCGGTCGATTTTTTGCTTCCAGATGCGAGTGAAATTTCCAGATGTGAGCAGGCCTCAAGGGAGGTTCCTTGATGCTGGTGAGAGGCTCTTGCTCTTGATCTAGGGAATTGGATCTCAGTTGTTTGTTGGACTATCTTATTGAAACTTGGGCAGTGTATGAAGGAAAGATGCTTCTAACGTACACTAAAAATGAAAGGAATCGGACCATAAATAACGGAGTTTACTTCTCAATCATTAACCTCCCTTTAGCGGTATATTTTCGTATGGTTTTTATGGTTGTATTCTCGTTTTTTGGTCTCATTTGATACAATGGAAGATATACAACAGAAAGACATGATTTTGATTGGTTTTCACGATGAAAAGCACCTTGAAATTGAGCTTTAAGTAGCAGAAATGTTCGATTCTTTGGCGATGTTCAAGAGTAAACAAACGACTTCACCGTCCAATACCTATCTGATTGGCACTGCCCCTCAACTTTCACATATTGGAAAGCTCTTCAACACTAGCAAAAGTGGGAGCAGACATCATGAGGTAGCAGTGGCAGACAACATGAAGCAGCAGTGGCAGACAACATGAAGCAGCAGTGGCAGACAACATGAAGCAGCAGTGGCAGACAACATGAAGCAGCAGTGGCAGACAATATGAAACAGCAGTGGCAGACATCATGAAGCAGCAATGTCAGACATCATGAAACAGCAGTGGCAAACCTTGTTGTACCCTATACTATAAGTGAGTTTATGAGTGCCACCACGAGATGGCAGTATGTATCAAAACAATGCTTAGTCCACTCCACTCATGGTGGAGGAAATGCACAGATGCTGTAATCAGACTGAGCTCATGTTACAAAATAGTACTGAAAATAATAAGCACAAATATGTATACAGGTCTCCCTCAACATTAGTGTTTTCCACTTTTGTGGGCTTCGAACATTCGTGAATTCTCAACCACCCAGTCATATTTAAAATATGTCATTACATATGTTAGGAATTGTGGCAGTGGCAGAGTTTGTTTGGAGATAGGACAAGATAGTCCTTTAATATGATGCTAATATCAACTCTATTATGGATATTTATCTATCACAATTCATCAAATATAATAACCAATATTAATAACATAAAAACATAACATATACTCTAGAATAAAATATGTCATTAAGTATGTCATGAGTGTTGTTGCATTGTTGTTGCTGTTGGGTGTATAAGCCTTACATAGTGGTGGTGGAGGGAGGCGGTAGAGATTGTGGTGTTGTCACTCGCCCTATGTAACTCCAACAGCATTGGAGGAGTTAGGTTTGTGCTGTCTTTTGTCTATTGATTAATTTCTTTGTCGTGGCTGGTTCGTAGGAGATATGAAGGTTGAAGATAAACACACTTGTTGGATGGTAACACTATATTGCAGAGTGTGTAGAGAGAGAGAGCCAAAACTGCCCTGTTGCCTGTTGTAGACCTATGCGTGGACTGAGAGCGAGGACGACCGCGAAGGGCTTACAACAGCATCACGTGACATCACACAAACTAGTCACAGGGCCTAGCAAAGGGGTCGTGTATGTAAAACATATGGATGGTACTATGATACTCAGATAAGCTATAGAACACATGTAGGGGAGCAGCAACTATGCTGACATCTTAACTTACTTGCTACACTGTTAATGCTACACTTTATCGCTTGCTGGCGCTATAACCTTCATTGATTCACACTGCTTTAGTATCATACATATTGTAGAATCACTGAAGAAGGCACATTCTCCCCTCTCTTTTCCTCCTCCACTTTGGTACTCTGCTACGAGTTCTTTCTTGAATTCTGTAGTCTTTTTCAAGTTTACCAAAGGGCTGGCACTAGTACAATATTTTATGATGTTTTCATGTGTTTTATGATTGTTCATGGTTCAATAGGTTAAGGAAGCAGTATTGTATTATATTTCTCTACAATATATTGGGGCACCAAACATTTGCGATTTTTCAACCCTCGCGAATGTTGAGGGAGACCTGTAATTGAAAAGCCCTTTATTAGTGAAACACTCTAAAGCAAGGTACGTCTGTACACAAAAGCTGGGAAGTTAAGTGGCTGCATTAGAGGTATTTACTAACTTTATTCTGTATAGGTTATTACATTTGTGTGTGTTTAATTATTACTAATAATTTGATTTTCCTTTCTCAGGGACATAACCATGGAGGAGACAAACGGAGGAGGTATGCAGGTGGACTCTCCCCCTAAGGTGGGAGGGACAATTGAGCCTCCACCAAGAGAGGAACCTGTTATTGATCCCATTAATGGTATCGTGCAACCTCCATTCACTCCACCCCCACATAGACCTGGGCGTATCACGAACCAGCTCCAATATATTCAAAAACAAGTGATGAAAACTGTTTGGAAACACCAGTTTGCCTGGCCATTTCATCAGCCAGTTGATGCGATGAAGCTCAATTTACCAGACTACCATAAAATTATTAAGCATCCTATGGACTTAGGTACTATTAAAAAACGTCTTGAAAATAAATATTATTGGAGTGCTAAAGAGTGTATACAGGACTTTAACACTATGTTTACTAATTGTTATGTGTATAATAAGCCTGGCGAAGATGTAGTGTTAATGGCACAGACGCTAGAAAAGATATTTTTAACAAAAGTGGCTGCCATGCCAAAGGATGAAGTTGAAGTGGAAGATGCCACAAGCAAAGGTGGCAAAGGCCGCAAAGGTCGGACCCCAGTTGTGCCAGGGACAAAGCCACCTAGGCCTCCTGTTAATACATCTGCCCCATCTGTTACTACTACAACCTCAGCCCCAGCAGTTACAGCATCCCCGGCCATGAGTGCTGTTACTGTAGGGGGCATGACTAGCACTAGCTCACCGGCTCTTTCTAACTCCATATCCTCGCCACCAACGGCCACTACCATGGGGTCGTCTCAACTGCCATTGCCCATAAGAGTAACCACTCCTCCAACTACAACTACAGTGCTGGGCTCCACTGCTCAGCCCACCGTCCCAGCGCCTACATCTACTAACTCCTTTCCACCA